CAGTCGACCAAGCACCTTGCGCACCAGGGACACATGCTCGGCGCGTGTAGCGGAGTATATTAGAATGCCATCTATATACACCACTACACCCTGCCTGTGCAGGTCCCTGAAAATCTAGTCTACAAAGGATTGGAAGACTGATGGAGCATTCATCAACCCGTACGGCATGACGAGGTACACATAGTGCCCAGAGGTGGTACTAAATGCCGTCTTCCACTCACTTTTTGCGATATTCCTACCTCAAGAAATGTGTAATTTAACGGAGGGTCTAGCACATTTTACCTATTTGTCTGCCTCTTTAGTCCAGGGTGCATTGCATGGTGCCGTTGCCAGAGATATTATAGAAAGGAGATAGGAATCCAATGAACGAAGGCACGTATAACACCCCACCCAGCAGACTGTCCACCAATCACGTTCATGTTGTCATGCTGCGTCACGCGGTTGCTAAACTAATCGTCACGCAATCCCTCTCTAAGTCAGTGTATATGTCGAGAAATGTGCCTATTTTCCTTAAAAGTACGTAATGTCTTGATTCCAAAGCTGTACGATACTACAGATAGCAAGTTAATTATCTCGCATCTCATAAAAGATTTGTAATATTGTACCTCTTGTTGAAGAAATTCGTGCTAATGTTGGGTTTTTGTGCCCAATAGACTCCCATTCACTCCTTGAAGGAGAGTGCTCATTGTCCAAGAATCGCCCAGAATGGGCAACGTTTCCCATCTCCTCAAAAGTATATCTGCCGTTGCGAATGTTAGACTCCACTCTGTGAGGCACATCGATCTGCAGGTCGAACATGGTGAGATAGACTCCTAAATTGATAGTGCAGTTTGTTTAGGTGATTTTACAGCTAACTAGCTGCATCACATGCTGATTTTGTCTTTGGTATTATTGTGTGTAGCTAGGTTTGCTAGCTAGCTAGCCATCCAGCCCATAGAGAGAGCATTGCATTGTGGATTTTGTAGTCGACTTGAGCTGCAACAGATTTCCACAACGATTTTCTAAATTGCTACGCCAAAATGAAACATTTGTTCACAAAAATTATTGTTCTCACGTATTAGTGTTATTGAACACAAAATTAAAGGAATTAGTGGTTTTGGGTAGATTTTTCCTTTAAGTACCACTCCAACGCAACACAACCCCAACTTTGTCCCTAATGAATCCCCTCGTACTGGTCTAATCCTAGCACACATTAGAGTTAAACCTCGCCATGCATGCCTTTTAAATCAGAGGGGCTCATTTTGTCATCACCGCCTCCCCACAAAGCTCTGACTGGTAGTGCCATCTTATGGAGATCATTCACTACTACATTTTATTAGTAACTCGCAGTCCAGGGCCCTTTTCTAGTACTTCAGAAATGCATCCTTCCTTCCTACCTTTCTTGAAGTAATCAGAGATCTGAACTAGTTGGACTGGTGAAAGTAATGGGGTGGTAACATTGCTTACACCTATCCGATCACTTATAAATCTGTGCTTACCTCAAGGACACAAGGAACGAAGGATGCATTTCAAAGATATTAGAGGAAACAAGGATGCATTTCTGAAGTATTCAAACAGGGCCCCCGGTCTCTCTCATTACTTATCACAATGCTGAGCACATCTGACTGCAGCATTCTGTCACTAACAGGAGAATAATTCCCTACGTGAATGAATATTTCCAGTCGCATAATTAATAACCCTGTTGAAGCACTGTTCGGTCACACCTACCCCTGCGTTGCATTCTCATAGTCTAATATGTTATTATGTGGGCCCAAATGTACATATCAGCAATGTTTTATATACATGTATTTTTGTTACAAAAAATAATTTGTGAATACAGTATGTATAATTTTTTTATGCATAACTAGTGCTACTGTATAAATACATCAAACAAGTCAATAAATCAATTCAGGATCACTGTTTATATTGGCTAGAACTGATAACACTCCTCTTGTCTTTCAGTGTAGCACGGTTTGGAGACAGTAATCCCTGGAGTCCCTCTATGACCTCACTACATACATTTCTCCCCCTGATAGGGAGTTGTGGTCCTTATGCCTTTGTTGTGTACTGTATGTGCTTCTGGACATAGGATCTGAATGGAATGTGCTCGACATACAGTAGTGGCACTAACAGCCAACCCCATGCACTCACTGAATAAGGTTGTGCATTGAGCAGTAGAGGTATAAAAGATTTACAGGTATGCGCAAATCTTTAAAAAAACGTTCTGATACAAGAGAAAGTGACGTTTACTTTTGATTCTACTTGATTTAGAGTTTTTATAAATCATTCATTAAATCTCCCCAGAAACAATTGTAAAAATGTTGTCTTTAGAATGGAAGACATCAAGTACATTTCTAAAAAGTCTCCATTTCATATTTTTCCTGCCAAGAGGATGCCTTTATCTAGGGCAATGTACATAACTCCCTTTTGCATAGCGTCTTTATATAGCAGCTTTAATATAGGCTTCCCGTTAACTCAAGCAATACAGGTTTAAAGACCTTGGATCTTGCTCAAGGGTACATTACCGTTAAGTGTTATAGACCCTGTGAATAGATCCTGCAAGCCCAGTTGCTTAGCTGTAATCAGATAATACTGTGTCCTACACAAACCCAGATTGACCATGGATAAATTCTGGGTTTGAAGGTGTCAGCAGAGGCAGAGTATCCGGTTTGCCCCTTGCCATTACTGGATCTCGCTTGGCCTACATCACAACAAGGCTATATGCAGAGTTTCTGATTTGAAGTGTTGCAGCCACAATTCTTTAATCAACAAAATACTAGCAGAAGCCCCAGGAATCTATCTTCACCCCCTTTCCTGACATAAACTCGTCGGCGGTCCTGTGTCTCTAGTAATTGTTTTATGTCATTAACAGGTGGTTGTCAAAAATAGAATGAAGAAACACACACACTCAAGTCTCTCGGGTGCTCTCTCTCTCTCTCTCTCTCTCTCTCTCTCTCTCTCTCTCTCTCTCTCTCTCTCTCTCTCTCTCTCTCTCTCTCTCTCTTTCTCTCTCTCTCTCTCTCTCTCTTTCTCTCTCTTTCTCTCTCTCGCTCTCTCTCTCACACACACACAAACACACGTGCACACACACTATCAGGTGCACGCTCACATGCACACACACAAACACACATGCACACACACAAACATGCACACACACTATCGGGTGCACACACACATACACACACATACGCACGCACACACACGCGCACACACACAGACACAAAGTGATATAGAGACCACACACTCTTGATGCATATTCTCGCAAATACATTTTACATGGGCCAGCAAAGACAGATAGATCCAGCACAACCGTGTGTGCATGTCTAAACAAACAGATACAAAGGCATAGGTGTGTGGCCACATAGCTACTAAACCCACCCACACACCAACTCTCTGCAACACAAGGCTACTTTGGCCTCCACCCTCTTTCCACTCTTCATACCTCCTCCTCTCTTCCTCGGCGACCACTATCTCGCGCACTCCCTCTATTCGCCTTGCCCCATTTCATTCCGAACTGAACCACACACACACCAAACAGGTCAGTAATTTCTTCATATCATTGTTATGATTCGTAATGTGGCCATGACTGAGTGTATAGTAAAGCAAAATGAGTAGAAATAAATTAATTTGGGTCCGTTGTAGAGGGATATTGAACGACAGCATTGAAAAATAAACTGAATTGCTTATGCTTATGATGGCCTTGAAAGTTGCTCTGGGGTGTCGGCATTTGTTGCTTTGTGTTTTTGCGTAGTTAATGGAGTTACTGATCACACTGTTGTATATTTCAATGAGTATTATAATGGAATAAGTTGATTTGAATGGAATATTGCGAGGCACTTTAAGTATTCAAGACTGAATCATAGAAGACTATTTTGCATCTGTATTTTGAATCTTTATGGTTCAGAACTTCCTCTCTTTAAGCTGTCAATGTTTATATCCTGTGAGGGTAACGGTAATGCTGTGCAATTATTCTTGATGAAGCCTTTTCATTGCCTTATTTTCAGTTAGCATACTAGTTGCTTAGACTTCTTTGTAAGATACAGTAGCCATGTGTTATCCATCTTTCAGTCAACATCTAAATATAGATATAGTTCTTTAAGATGTATAAAACCATGTATAAAAGTGACTTTAACACAACTCTGACTTAATGATAGTAACTGATGTAATATGTGCATACAATTTTTGCTATGAAAGTTGAGAAAATGTCAATGTAGCACTCATTAACATGTGCTGGTGATGGTTCAGACTTGATATCCAACCACGCAGTTGGAAATAATTCTGTGCACCATTAAATTGTCAATCATATAGCCGTCAAGATTGAAATGAACTTTTCCATGTTGGATTTTATCAGCCTCTATAAGGGGACATGGCAGTTGTTAAATTTAGTTTATACTAACATAGTGATGGATTAAAGTCAGTAGATTTTCTTCTACTGATGTTAAAACTCATAGTTTTTTTTCTTAATTTAGAATAAGCTGCTTTCTCCCTCCTGGTTTCTCCTCCATATCTCTGTTTCCCAACATCTACCCGGAAGCTACCTCTCTTTTTGATCTTTTTTTTCTAATCAATTCTAACTTTTGACCCATTTTTCATTATGACATGCTCATCATTGCATACTTCTTCCAAAACCATATTTGACATCAAGCTTTCGATGTCTGGTGTTACTATCTTACAATAAATGATTTGTGCCGACACCCAAAAAACTACAAATGTTTTTTTCTGCACTGATAATCCTAAACATGATTTCTCCTTTTTTTATCGTGGGTTTAGCATGTTTGCTTCATAAACTAAGTCATCAGTGCTGTGAATTCCGATTTACCTTATTTTCCTGTCCTCCCACATCTTCCTGTTTCCCTCCCTCCATCCTGCTTGCCTCAACAACCCCTGTCTATCATCATTTATATTGCTCCACTGCCACGTCACCATAGAAACCCATTCCCTGTCTCCTACACTCTCTACCTGTCTTTATCCATTATTCATATTTTTTTTTTAAATCAATCGTAAACATCTGCAAAGCTGCTATGTGGTCCACCTTCTTTCTGCACGAAGCGGATGGCAGGCCGATTCCACCAGGGGTGGGAGTAGGACCAGGAGCAGGTCCCCTTGGACTGACCGGTGTTATGGGTGGCAGAGGGGCTGGGGCTGGTGCTATGGGAGTTAAGCGCCGGGCAAAAGCGTCAACATCGGGACGCCCAGGGGGCATGAGCGAGGTCCAGGAGGGCAAGATCAAGCTGGCGTTCTTCGTGGCCATCGTGGGTGTGGTATTGACTGTCTTGGGCTTGGGCACAGAGTATTGGGTGGAGCTGTCCCCGCCCAAGAACTTCTACAACAACCAGACGTGTCTGGTGGCCCACTACGGGCTGTGGAAAGGATGCACCCAGACTCTGTGGGTGGCGGACATAGACCCTGAGCGAGAGAGCTGTGGGCCGGCTGAACTGCCAGGAGGTGACTGCTCTGGGGCTGCATGAATAGGCCTACATCACATTGTGTAAACCAAACAGCATCCACTCAAACTCATACATTCCAAACTATACATAACCACCTATCAGAAATCACAGACCCATTTTTTGCATACCGGCAAATTGTGTAAACCAAACAGCATTCATTCAATCTCGTACATTCAAAACTATACAAAACACTCTCTTGAGAAATCCTATGGACCCTTTTATGCCAGATTTTAAAGGGGTAGTTCAGCCAAATTTCATGATTTCAAGGCCAGAAGAGACAATTATGATTTCATTACATAGCTATAGCCCCCACCGTTAGATACAGCTAGGTATCAGGTATTTGTATTGTGTCCACAATCCAATCACTGGATGCAGGTGTAGACTGGTTATCAGGTGTAGACTGTGTCACAGATGGACTGCAACATACATTTACATTCTGTAGGGATAGATGCTTATCTTGAACTAGCACACGTATTACTCTCAAATACTGTACTAAAATGGCATACTAGAGAAGGCAGTGCTGCAGTATATTTTTATGATAGTCTATATGTAGGATAAACTACATGTATTAGAATACAAGATGCCATAACACTAATTGCATAGAAGAGATAGCAACCTTGGTATTGTCATCGATGTGCATGAATGTATAATAATTAGTGTGCAGCAAGCCGTATGAATCTCAATAAGATTATGGTGATGTGCAAGTGGATAAGGTCTCCATCTGTTTCAAATAAGTTCCTTGTCTCTCCCTATCTCCTTAAGAATCTAACTGCACCTACTTCAAGTTTTACACCACTGGAGAGAATGCAGTCATCTTCCAGAAGACAACAGAAAAGAGTGAGTTAGCTTGTCCCCTGCCCTCTTTCAACCTACAGTAAGGGAAAAAAGTATTTGATCCCCTGCTGATTATGTACGTTTGCCTACTGACAAAGACATGATCAGTCTATAATTTTAATGGTAGGTTTATTTGAACAGTGAAAGACAGAATAACAACAACAAAATCCAGAAAAACACATGTCAAAAATGTTAAAAATTGATTTGCATTTTAATGGGGGAAATAAGTATTTGACCCCCTCTCAATCAGAAAGATTTCTGGCTCCCAGGTGTCTTTTATACAGGTAACGAGTTGAGATTAGGAGCACACTCTTAAAGGGAGTGCTCCTAATCTCAGTTTGTTACCTGTATAAAAGACACTTGTCCACAGAAGCAATCAATCAATCAGATTCCAAACTCTCCACCATGGCCAAGACCAAAGAGCTCTCCAAGGATGTCAGGGACAAGATTGTAGACCTACACAAGGCTGGAATGGGATACAAGACCATCGCCAAGCAGCTTGGTGAGAAGGTGACAACAGTTGGTGCGATTATTCGCAAATGGAAGAAACACAAAATAACTGTCAATCTCCCTCGGCCTGGGACTCCATGCAATATCTCACCTCGTGGAGTTGCAATGATCATGAGAACGGTGAGGAATCAGCCCAGAACTACACGGGAGGATCTTGTCAATGATCTCAAGGCAGCTGGGACCATAGTCACCAAGAAAACAATTGGTAACACACTACGCCATGAATGACTGAAATCCTGCAGCGCCCGCAAGGTCCCTCTGCTCAAGAAAGCGCATATACATGCCCGTCTGAAGTTTGCCAATGAACATCTGAATGATTCAGAGGAGAACTGGGTGAAAGTGTTGTGGTCAGATGAGACCAAAATCGAACTCTTTGGCATCAACTCAACTCGCCGTGTTTGGAGGAGGAGGAATGCTGCCTATGACCCCAAGAACACCATCCCCACCTTCAAACATGGAGGTGGAAACATTATGCTTTGGGGGTGTTTTTCTGCTAAGGTGACAGGACAACATCACCTCATCAAAGGGACGATGGACAGGGCCATGTACCGTCAAATCTTGGGTGAGAACCTCCTTCCCTCAGCCAGGGCATTGAAAATGGGTCGTGGATATGTATTCCAGCATGACAATGACCCAAAACACACGGCCAAGGCAACAAAGGAGTGGCTCAAGAAGAAGCACATTGAGGTCCTGGAGTGGCCTAGCCAGTCTCCAGACCTTAATCCCATAGAAAATCTGTGGAGGGAGCTGAAGGTTCGAGTTGCCAAACGTCAGCCTCAAAACCTTAATGACTTGGAGAAGATCTGCAAAGAGGAGTGGGACAAAATCCCTCCTGAGATGTGTGCAAACCTGGTGGCCAACTACAAGAAACGTCTGACCTCTGTGATTGCCAACAAGGGTTTTGCCACCAAGTACTAAGTCATGTTTTGCAGAGGGGTCAAATACTTATTTCCCTCATTAAAATGCAAATCAATTTATAACATTTTTGACATGCGTTTTTCTGGATTTTTGTGTTGTTATTCTGTCTCTCACTGTTCAAATAAACCTACCATTAAAATTATAGACTGATCATTTCTTTGTCAGTGGGCAAACGTACAAAATCAGCAGGGGATCAAATACTTTTTTCTCTCACTGTATGTCCCACCTTGCCCACCCACACGCTTTCTTTCTTCCTCGAGTCTGTCATCTATGTTTCACTGGGTCAGCCATTGACTGCAGTGAGTGTCTAAAATGTATTCCTCCTACTCCTTTTCCGTTATAGCATTGAAGTCAGTAAGACAGTGTTTCTTTGTGGGTCCATGGGGACCAATTGTGAAATCCTGTTTTTTTCTCGAGCTCTAAACCAGAGGTGTCATGCACCACATTTTTTAAGAGGGCACTGATGGCCAAATTCAATATCTTTGGATTTATTATGCGCAAAAGAAACAATATCTTCTGTATTTGTTCTTAGTTTGGGAATGATGCCATATATGCCAGGAGTGTGACATTTAACATTTATATTATCCTCTAGGCAAGTCAGAGGTGAATATCTGTTAGAATTATAAGTGGATGCCATGACCTTTACCTTTTTTATAGATTGCCATTTTGAAGAAGGTTTTACTTATGTGGTTGTGTTACTTACCTTAGTTGAATGCCCTCATTGCAAGTCGCTCTGGATAAGAGAGTCTGCTAAATGACTCAAATGTAATTGTACCTGGTGCCAGTGTACTATGAAAAGTGGAATGTACCTGTATCAAGACAATAACCGTTTCTCTCTTCCCAGGTCTGAATGTGGCGGCAGCCATGATGGCCCTCTTCGGTCTCTTCCTGATGGTCATGGGGGCCATATGCATCACCACAGCCCTCAGCAAAGGAGAATCGTTCTTCCTCAAGCCTGCTTCGGTTTGCTTCATTCTGTCAGGTGAGTGAGTAGATATATGATAGCCAAGGTAATATAAACTGAGTGGACATAACATTAAGAACACCTGCTCCTTCCATGTCATAAAAATGTTTTGTACACTCAGTGTATAACTACAATGGTTAAATGTCACATATCTAATGAGAACATGGGAAGATCTCATTCTCAATTGCATACTCCTCGCGTTCTCTCCTCGTCTCCTTTTCAAAACCCATTTGGGACAAATCATTCACTAAACTAAATCTTGTAATTAATATTGTGTAAATTGAGCAAGTTGAGGAGACTGAACTGCTTGGAATAACCTTGGATTGTAAACTGTCATGGTCAAAACATATTGATACAACAGTAGCTAGGATGGGGAGAAGTCTGTCTATAATAAAGCGCTGCTCTGCATTCTTAACAGCACTATCAACAAGGCAGGTCCTACAGGCCCTAGTTTTGTCGCACCTGGACTACTGTTCAGTCGTGTGGTCAGGTGCCACAAAGAGGGACTTAGGAAAATTGCAATTGGCTCAGAACAGGGCAGCACGGCTGGCCCTTGGATGTACACAATCTCTCCTGGCTCAAAGTGGAGGAGAGATTGACTTCATCGCTACTTGTATTTGTGAGAGGTATATTGACATGTTGAATGCACCGAGCTGTCTGTTTGAACTACTGGCACACAGCTCGGACACCCATGCATACCCCACAAGACATGCCACCAGAGGTCTCTTCACAGTCCCCAAGTCCAGAACAGACTACGGGAGGCGCACAGTACTACATAGAGCCATGACTACATGGAACTCTATTCCACATCAAGTAACTCATGCCAGCAGTAAAATTCGATTTTAAAAACAGATAAAAATACACCTTATGGAACAGCGGGGACTGTGAAGCAACACAAACATAGACAAATGCATACAAACACATGATAACATACACACTATACACACATGTACACATGGATTTTGTGTTATAGATATGTGGTAGTAGAGTAGAGGCCTGAGGGCACACACTTAATATGTTGTGAAATATGTTATGAAAGTATTGTAATGATTTTAAAATGTACACTACTGTTCAAAAGTTTGGGGTCACTTAGAAATGTCCTTGCTTTCGAAAGAAAAGCAATTTTTTTGTCCATTAAAATAACTTAAAATTGATCAGAAATACAGTGTAGACATTGTTAATGTTGTAAATGGCTATTGTAGCTGGAAACGGCTGATTTTTTATGGAATATCTGCATAGGCGTACAGAGGCCCATTATCAGCAACCATCAGTACTGTGTTCCAATGGCACGTTGTGTTTGGCTGACGATGCCTTCCTAGGTTTCTCGTATGCACCACCCTCAGACGACTCCTTTCTATGAAAGACTCGCTGTGAGGACCTGCCCCAGAGTTCTGTGAAATTGCTTTAACTCAGTGTTCTTCTATCATGGTCCTGTTGATCCGCAGGGTGTGCAGGCTTTTGTTCCAGCCCAGTAGACCTTATCGATTAGTTTAATCATGTGTGTTAGTGCTGGGCTGGAACGAAACCCTGCTGGTCTACAGGATCAGGACTGAAGAACACTGCCTTAACCTGTACTGATTCTTTTAAATAAAAGGGAATTCATATTGTGGATGAACCCGTTTTGAGAAAAGCTAAAGCGAGCAGAAGTTGTGATCAGACAGCACTTATGAATATGGTTTGGCCTGCAGAGTGTTTGTCAAGAAATCTTTATTTTTACCTAATTATATTTATATAACAGATTATATTTTAAAGAAATGTCGGCCATCTTTCTTGACACGTATTGTTTGTTGATCCACGTAAAGTGGAGTCAATGTTGGTCCTTTGTTTGAAGAAAATATAAACATTCACAGTGTCTTCTTGTCAGGGTGGGATGGTTAAACTAATCCCCAAAATAAAATCCAACTTTAGAGACCCATACACAAAAATGTATGCACGCATGGCTGTAAGTCGCTTTGGATAAAAGCGTCTGCTAAGTGGCATATTATTATTATTATTATTATTATTATTATTATTATTTGCTAATCCAAGTTTATCATTTTAAAAGGCTAATTGATAATTAGAAAACCCTTTTGCAATTATGTTAGCACAGCTGAAAACTGTTGTGCTGATTAAATAAGCAATAAAACTGGCCTTCTTGAGACTAGTTGAATATCTGGAGCATCAGCAATTGTGGGTTCGATTACAGGCTCAAAATGGCCAGAAAAAAATAACTTTCTTCTGAAACTCGTCAGTCTATTCTTGTTCTGAGAAATGAAGGCTATTCCATGTGAGAAATTGCCAAGAAACTGAAGATAGCTTACAATGCTGTGTACTACTCCCTTCACAGAACAGTGCAAACTGGCTCTAACCAGAATAGAAAGAGGAGTGGGAGGCCCCGGTGCACAACTGAGCAAGAGGACAAATACATTAGAGTGTCTAGTTTGAGAAACAGACACCTCACAGGTCCTCAACTGGCAGCTTCATTAAATAGTACCCGCAAAACACCAGTCTCAACGTCAACAGTGAAGAGGCGACTCCGGGATGCTGACCTTCTAGGCAGAGTTGCAAAGAAAAAGCCATATCTTAGACTGCCCATCTTAATATTTTATTTTTATTGGTCAGTCTAAGATATGGCTTTTTCTTTGCAACTCTGCCTAGAAGGTCAGCATCCTGGAGTCGTGGAGAGAATGCAATCGAGATCTTCCCCATGTTGCAGAGAGTTAGGAGTCAGTTAGGAGTCAACCTGTGCATGCAGCAAAAACAAAACAAAGCTACCGGTACTCAACATAATTTAAAAAAAATCTAAAAACATATAGCCATTATTCAAGTATATCAAGGGAGCTCACTAATTAGATACACAGGGCATTAGTCATGGCACCTGTCCAGTCCTGATATACTCGGAGGCTCTGGGAAGTGGATGAGGAAAAGGTCACAGATATCAATACCACCTCCACCATCCCATCAGTAAGATGTATTTACCAACTCCACACACACCAAGCCCCTGATATCTCTCTCTTTTGTTCTTCGTCCCTCTCTTTCTCTCTCTTTTTCTCTATCACTCTATCCTTCTCTCTCTTAGGCCTCCTGATGCTCCTATCTCTTACTGTTTTCAACCAATCGGTCCTCTCCTTCCTAGCCAGTGACCACTCAGTGCCTTTGCATCACGAGCTATCTTGGTCAGTGTCCTGTATTGGGTGTGCAGGGGCCATGCTTCTTTTGGGCGGAATCCTCTTTCTCTTGCTTGCACTACCATTCAGCCCCTGGCGAAGGTGTTTTCCCCCAAAAAATGAAAGTGACAGCTAGTGGCGAGAAGGAGGTATAGCACTTTATCTGTATCCTCTTATAACTGTTGTTGAGAAATCTCCTGCAATTTTACGTTGATGCTTTTGAAGTTGTGGAGAGAGAGTTTAAGATGTTCCTCGTCTTTTTTTCTCTCCTTATTTTGCATAAATCAGTAGAGCTCATTAAAGGGACATTATACTGCTCTTGACTTATGAAAGCTGAAGAATTAACACTTACACTAACCAGGTTTCCATCCAACCTCTTTATGCGAGTAAAGTGCAATGTCGCATAAAACATGTCATGACAGGCCTGATGGAAACAGATTGTTGGGGGGTAAACTTTCCAAATGTTGACAAAACAAAATACACTAGACAAGGTGGGATCTTTTTGTGTCGGTAAAAATGAATTATGCGAGAAGTGTCGGTGGAAACGAAAATACGTCAAGCAATGACATGTTGTGTGGTCCTCCCACTATGACTCGTCGGGAAAGCATGCAGTTTATTAGGCTACCGATTAAATAAATGATGATGAACTTCACAGTGTGGTGAAAGTCAAAGGTGATGAGCTTGATGCTCCTTTCCAATAAATATCGAGGGTCTTATTCTGGTGACATGATAATCGATGCTTGGCTGCCATTTGACAAATACACATAATCTTGCTCTAGATTGTACGTGCGCTCTAGCCAACAGCGCTATGCACGGTGTTGGCTTCAAGCGCAAATTGCAATACCAGAGTCGGCACACTCGCTATATAACGCAACCTATTTTGTGAGAAAACCATCAGTAGAGTTGAAAATGCGATGAAAACCCATTTAACTTGTATTTTTTATTTGGTGCATGGTAATGTAACCGCAAAAGGTATTTAATGTGCACTACCTCATCACGCCAGCCGTTTATCTTCAATAAGTCAATTTGATGGAAATATCTCTGGTGGGAAAATGTGCATATTGTTTTTATGCGGATTTTAGAATTTTCGCATGCAAATCTAGATGGAAACCTAGCTACTGACACATTTATTGGGAGAATCAAAAGTGTTAGTTGACAGCAACTACAACAAAAAAACATTGCATGTGCAAAATTTTATGTGCTGGTATGTTCAAATATCTCCCCAAGTGTGAAATTCGAGGTAATTCAAAATCATTTTAAATGAATGTAACAAGAACAACTGTTTGCAGTTGTGTTTTGAATTTGTAAACATTACTTCATAATTATTTTTGCCAAAACTTTAATGATATTGTGATCAACAGTCTTATTAGAGAGTATAATCCTAAAATATAGTAACTGGGATTCAGATGTATTACACAGAAAGAAAGTACAGTACAAAATTCTACAGTTTCTAGTAAATAAATACATACAGTGAGGGAAAAAAGTATTTGATCCCCTGCTGATTTTGTACGTTTGCCCACTGACAAAGACATGATCAGTCTATAATTTTAATGGTAGGATTATTTGAACAGTGAGAGACAGAATAACAACAACAAAATCCAGAAAAACACATGTCAAAAATGTTATAAATTGATTTGCATTTTAATGAGAGAAATAAGTATTTGACCCCTCTGCAAAACATGATTTAGTACTTGGTGGCAAAACCCTTGTTGGCAATCACAGAGGTCACATATTTCTTGTAGTTGGCCACCAGGTTTGCACACATCTCAGGAGGGATTTTGTTCCACTCCTCTTTGCAGATCTTCTCCAAGTCATTAAGGTTTTGAGGCTGACGTTTGGCAACTCAAACCTTCAGCTCCCTCCACATATTTTCTATGGGATTAAGGTCTGGAGACTGGCTAGGCCACTCCAGGACCTTAATGTGCCTCTTCTTGAGCCACTCCTTTGTTGCCTTGGCCGTGTGTTTTGGGTCATTGTCATGCTGGAATACCCATCCACGACCCATTTTCAATGCCCTGGCTGAGGGAAGGAGGTTCTCACCCAAGATTTGACAGTACATGGCCCTGTCCATCGTACCTTTGATGCGGTGAAGTTGTTCTGTCCCCTTAGGTCTACAATCTTGTCCCTGACATCCTTGGAGAGCTCTTTGGTCTTGGCCATGGTGGAGTTTGGAATCTGATTGATTGATTGCTTCTGTGGACAGGTGTCTTTTATACAGGTAACAAACTGAGATTAGGAGCTCTCCCTTTAAGAGTGTACTCCTAATCTCAACTCGTTACCTGTATAAAAGACACCTGGGAGCCAGAAATCTTTCTGATTGAGAGGGGGTCAAATACTTATATTTAACATTTTTGACAAGTGTTTTTCTGGATTTTTGTTGTTGTTATTCTGTCTTTCACTGTTCAAATAAACCTACCATTAAAATTATAGACTGATCATTTCTTTGTCAGTGAGCAAACGTACAAAACCATCAGGGGATCACATACTTTCTTCCCTCACTGTACACAATCCCATGATATTGAAATATTTTTACAACTGCCTTTAATATACAGATATAGTGTATTTGGAAATTATTTTTACCCCCCTCATCAATCTACACATTACCGCATATTAACAAAGCAAAAACAGGTTTTTAGAACTTTTTGCAAATTTATTAAAAATTAAAACAGAAACATCACAATTACATAAGTATTCAGACCCTTTACTCAGTACTTGTTGAAGCACCTTTGGCAGTGATTACAGCATCGTGTCTTCTTGGGTATGACGCTATAAGCTTGGCACACCTGTATTTGGGGAGTTTCTCCCATTCTCTCTGCAGATCCTCTCAAGCTCTGTCAAGTTGGATGGGGAGTGACGCTGCACAGCTTTTTTCAGGTCTCTCCAGAGATGTTCGATCGGATTCAAGTCCGGGCTCTGGCTGGGCCACTCAAGGACATTCAAAGACATGTCCTGAAGCCACTCCTGCGTTGTCTTGGCTGTGTGCTTAGGGTCGTTGTCCTGTTGGAAGGTGAACCTTCGCCCCAGTCTGAGGTCCTGAGCACTCTGGAGCAGGTTTTCATCAAGGCTCTCTCTGTACTTTGCTCCGTTCATCTTTGCCTCATCTCCCAGTCCCTGCCGCTGAAAAACATCCCAACAGCATGATGCTGCCACCACCATGCTTCACTGTAGGGATGGTGCCAGGTTTCCTCCAGACGTGAAGCTTGGCATTCAGGCCAAATATTTCAATCATCTTGATTTCATCAGACCAGAGTATTGTTTCTCATGGTTTGAGAGTCTTTAGGTGTCTTTTGGCAAACTCCAAGCGGGCTGTCATGTGCCTTTTACTGAGGAGTGGCTTAATTCTGGCCACTCTACCATAAAGGCCTGATTGGTGGAGTGCTGCAGAGACGATTGTCCTTCTGGAAGCTTCTCCCATCTCCACAGAGGAACTCTAGAGCTCTGTCAGAGTGACCATCAGGTTCTTGATCACCTCCCTGACCAAGGCCCTTCTCCCCCGATTGCTCAGTTTGGTGGGGTGGCCAGCTCTAGGAAGAGTCTTGGTGGTTCCAAACATCTTCCATTTAAGAATGATGGAGGCCACTGTGTTCTTGGGGACCTTCAATGCTGCAGAATTTTTTTGGTACCCTTCCCCAGATCTGTGCCTTGACACAATCCTGTCTCGAAGCGCTACGGACAATTCCTTCGACCTCATGGCTTGGTTTTTGCTCTGACATGCACTGTCAACTATGGGACCATACAGTGGCTTGCGAAAGTATTCACCCCCCTTGGCATTTTTCCTATTTTGTTGCCTTACAAACTGGAATTAAAATGGATTTTTGGGGGGTTGTATCATTTGATTTACACACAACATGCCTACCACTTTGAAGATGCAAAATATTTTTTTATTGTGAAACAAACAAGAAAAAATTAGTGTGCATAACTATTCACCCCCACAAAGTCAATACTTTGTAGAGCCAGCTTTTGCAGCAATTACAGTCTATTGGGGTATGTCTCTATAAGCTTGGCACATCTAGCTACTGGGATTTTTGCCCATTCTTCAAGGCAAAACTGCTCCAGCTCCTTCAAGTTGGATGGGTTCCGCTGGTGTACAGCAATCTTTAAGTCATACCACAGATTCTCAATTGGATTGAGGTTTGGGCTTTGACTAAGCCATTCCAATACATTTTTAATGTTTCCCCTTAAACCACTCGAGTGTTGCTATAGTAGCATGCTTAGGGTCATTGTCCTGCTGGAAGGTGAACCTCCCTCCCAGTCTCAAATCTCTGGAAGACTGAAACAGGTTTCCCTCAAGAATTTCCCTGTATTTAGCGCCATCCATCATTCCTTCAATTCTGACCAGTTTCCCAGTCCCTGCCGATGAAAAACATCCCCACAGCATGATGCTGCCACCACCATGCTTCACTGTGGGGATGGTGTTCTCGGGGAGATGAGAGGTGTTGGGTTTGCGCCAGACATAGCTTTTTCCTTGATAGCCAAAAAGCTAAATTTTAGTCTCATCTGACCAGAGTACCTTCTTCCATATGTTTGGGGAGTCTCCCACATGTCTTTTGGCGAACACCAAACGTGTTTGCTTATTTTTTTCTTTAAGCAATGGCTTTTTTCTGGCCACTCTTCCGTAAAGCCCAGCTCTATGGAGTGTACGGCTTAAAGTTGTCCTTTGGACAGATACTCCAATCTCCACAATGGAGCTTTGCAGCTCCTTCAGGGTTATCTTTGGTCTCTTTGTTGACTCTCTGATTAATGCCCTCCTTGCCTGGTCCGTGAGTTTTGGTGGGCGGCCCTCTCTTGGCAGGTTTGTTGTGGTGCCATATTCTTTCCATTTTTTAAATATGTTTAAATATGGGATGTTCAAAGTTTCTGATATTTTTTATAACACAACCCTGATCTGTACTTCTCCACAACTTTGTCCCTGACCTGTTTGGAGAGCTCCTTGGTCTTCATGGTGCCACTTGCTTGGTGGTTCCCCTTGCTTAGCGGTGTTGCAGACTCTGTGGCATTTCAGAACAAGTGTATATATACTGAGATCATGTGACACTTAGATTGCACACAGGTGGACTTTATTTACAGTGGGGAAAAAAAGTATTTAGTCAGCCACCAATTGTGCAAGTTCTCCCACTTAAAAAGATGAGAGAGGCC